TTGGGAGAGGGACACGGTTGGCATTCAGTGGGCAGAAGCCAGGGATGCTGCCCAACATCCTACAACGCACAGGACAGCCCCCACACTAAAGAATGGACTGGCCCCAGATGACCGCCGTGCCATGGTTGAAAAACCTCAGCCCACAAGGTCACCTTCCAAAGAGGTCTCTGTCATCCCCCAGGTCCCTTTCCTTACCCCTTTGTTTTCATCATAGCTGTTAAATCATCTGGAACGATCTTGTTAGTTTGTTTACTGGGTTTGACGGCTGTGCCCTAAACCACCTGCAGCCAACAGAATATATAGATACCTGGTGATCGTGACACTAATCACCCAGCTGACGTTTATTAAGCGTTTGCTGTTTATAAAGCACTCTGCTAAGGAATTCGCTCATACTATTTACTATAATCATCCTAGTAACCCTACAAGGCAGCTGTACCTTACAGAGCAGAAAACAGGGCCACAGAGAAGTTCTTTGCCTAAAAGTGTGGTGAAGGAAGGAGGCACAATTCAAACCCAGGCAGCCTGGAGCTGCCCCGCCGCCCTCAGATGCCTCAGTCGAGTTTTGAATAAGTGCAAGGCTCCAGCTGGCCGTCCTGCTCGCCTGGTGAAGAAGACACGACAGAATAATGGATATGGGTTCGCAAAAGAGTGGCCAGGCATGCGTGCTGCTGACTGACGGGGTCAAGGGGATTCTCAGAGTGTGCTCAGCAGCAAATGTACAGAAACATCGCTTTTGCACAGCTGCCACAGGCTAACGTGATTTACGGCTCCATCTGCCTGCCCCCAACAGGCTCTGATGTGGGAGGTGTTCCCCCAGCCCCATCTGTGAAGGTGAAGATCTGGGACCAGGCTTGGGGCTTCCCCAGAGCATCCCCTGGGAGGGACCCCACCTCTGGGCTGCCTCTGGTAATCCCTGGCACCAAGTTCCTGGGAAAGAATCTTACCAATCTCATTAACCTCATTCTCTGTTCCTCAGGGAAGCCATTTGGGACGAATTTCAGCAGAAAGGCCATAGCGTTTGGCAGGCGTCTCAAATCCAAAGGCCCACCAGGACCAGGCAGGTAACATAGTGAGTGAATCCGCTGGATGACTGAGACAGCGCGAGGTGATGGGGACTGATGAAGCCAGTGTGTCCCCTGTAGGGGGTGTGGCTTCTGTTCAGCTCTGGCTAATTGCAACCTTTCAGGGATATAAGCCTTATGTTGCCACAACTTCAGATTTTAAGAGAAACTGGATATCTGCACTTGCTAGGAAATCTAATCTTTCGTGATTAAAATTTTTTTTTTTTTAAATTGCAACGCAATAGAAGACCAATAAAACACACTGCAGGTTAAGGTGGTTCTTAGGCTGGAAGCTTGCAGCTTCTAGTGTACGGACAAGAACGTTAGCCCGAGAGGTGGAAGGTGCGGGTCTGTCTGCTCTTAGCTAGATGACCTTGAGGAAAGCTGCTTCTCCACTCTGAACTCGTCTTCTCATTTGTAAGGTGAGAAAGCTGTCAGCCTGGGCTGCACTTCAGGTTTATGATAAGAAGACATGGAATATGTGGCATCATTATTCAGCAGTGAGTTCTGTGACAAATATTGTAGATGAGTGGGCCTCTCCCTTTTGAGGAGGGGCCCAGATGAGCCCCAGAGCTTCACCGCCCCCCGTCCCAGCTCTAGCTTTAAAGGAGGAAGAACTCAAGTGGTTAGCCATCTGCTGGCCCAGCTTGGACAATTGTTTCAGGCCCTGCCCTTACCAGAGCCACAGCAGGCAGTATATACTGGAGTCAGGCCTTCTGCTACTCCCTAGCTGTGTGGACGAGGGCCAGTCAGTCCCCTGTTCTAGATCTCAGTTTTTTCGTCTGCAAAATGGGAGGGTTGGGACTGGAATGGTCTCCAAGGTCACACCTGGCTGGGGAGTACTTCAGAACAGTGACATCTCCCTGGTCGTCATACCCAAAGTGTCCTGTTCTGCAGGTCTGCAGTGGGGCCTGGGCTATCCTTTTAATAGGACCCCCAGGAGATGCACATGCACAGCCAGGTCTGGCCATATCTCTCTGCTCTAGAAGCTCTGACCTAGTGTGTTCCCAGTCACACCAGTAGAACCTCCAAGAAGGGCCCTGTTTAGTGAGCACTTACTGTGTTCCATGCCCTGTACTTGACACTTTCCTCATGGTCTCTTATCCCCCCTGCTCTTCTTTTGTCCTCACGACAACATCATTATCACCATTTTCCAGATGAGGATACTGAGGTTCAGAGAGGCCCAAGGTCTCACCATGGGCAAGTGGTGTGGACTCAGTTTTGCACTTAGATATGCCGGACTGAGGAGCCTTGTGGCCTCCGCATTGCCCCCCGCCAGAGGAAACACACACCCACACTATGGCCCAATCACTTGGGATTTCACTGCTCACCCCCCTGCCCCACCCCCAGCATACAAACACCTCTTGGTATCCTTGGGGGGCCACAGGTGTGTGGTGGAACGCCACCTAGTGGTAGTCTTTAAAGATGCTTTGAGAAGCCCCCGTTTCACCAGATGAGCTTGGCAGGAGGGAAATGGTTGCTAGAGATGACTTCCAAGGGTCAGGGTGAAGGGCACCTGAACTGAGCAGGGAGTCACTACCGCACCTTGAATAGCACAGCAAAATGGTGAAGCGCCTCTAACTTTATGGAGGCCACTAGCGAGGATTTTTACCTTTAACTCTTGCAACTCCTCTGTCACCCGGGAAGGGAAGGTCTTATTAGCCTATTTTACACATGGACAAGACAAGATGTCAAGAAATACTGCAGCGTGCCCATGTGCCTTAAAGTGAGTGGAGGGGACACTCCTAACACTTTGATCACACTGGCTTGGGAATGACAGTGCTGATAATGGAATGATGGTGGTCGCGGTCGCAGTGGCTAGTATTTAATTTGTAGCATGACGACTCTATTAGGTAAGCGCAGTTGTTTTCCCCGCTGACAAGGTAGGAAACTGAGGCTCAGAGAAATGGATGAACTTACCCCAAGGTGACACAGCTTCTAGGTGGTAGAAGAGGGATTTGAACCCTGGCAATGGGACTCCAGAGTCGAAGCTCTTAACCACTGTCCCTTCTACTGGCTGAGGAAGCCTCTTTTCCAAGATGCCAGCAACATGGACACTTCACCCCATCTCACCTTACTCCACTTACCCCCATAAGCTGGAATGAGAAACTGTAGCCTCCATCAGCCAGTGATGCCCAGCCCTTCATTAATCTGCTGTGTGACCTTAGTGAATTTCTTCCCCTCTCTGAGCCTTGGTTTCTATATCTGTGTAATACAGAGTTTAAACTAGTTGAGCTCTGAGATCCTTCTATTCCATGAATCTGTGACTCTGTAACACTGGCTGCAGTGTTTGAATTTGTCCTTGAATCGGTTACCAAAGTATAAGCAATCTTTCTTCCCCCTCAGGTCTTTCTTTCTTTTCTACTCTTCTCCTTTCCTTCTCTCTCTCTCAATTTTCAGCCTAATTATGGTTACCTCTCTGTTATTTACAGACTTATTATCCAGGTTCATTATGAGTAACTATTCAGTCTGGAGGGGAAACAGCAACACTGCTAGTTTAATTTAATGCTTACCTAGTTAACTTAATTAGCAATAAGTCTTGGCAAAATGATGGCATTCACAGGGTCCTGGCTTGGTGGGTGGGTGCGGGAGGCTGAGTGCTGTCCTTGGAAAGCAACAAGTTTCAGGGCGCAATGTGGGGGGGGAGGCGAGGACTGAGCTGCCAGTGAGTTGGGCTGTGCTGTCCGTCCAAGTTGAGGCTGGCTCCTGAGAGTGAAAGGCCATAGATTACACAGGCTGCAAGGACCTGAGGTCAGGTAGCACTTGCTAAGCACCTGCTGTGTGCCAGACCCTTCGCAAGGTGTCGGGCAAACCTTATTTCTAATAACCCATATGTGGGACTTGTATATTCAAGATAATTTAGATCATTCAACTCTCTTTGTAGTATATGTTTCGGGTATACAGTATTATAATTCAACTTTGCCGTATATTTGTATACTTTGTATATTTGTATATACTTTGCAGTATATTTGTATATACTGAAGAGAGATCACCAGCACCAGTTTAGGTAGCATCCATTACCACCATACAGTTAACCCCCTTAACCATTTCACCCACCCGCCTAACCTTCTTCCCTTCCGGTAACCACTAATCTGTTCTCTGCATCTATGAGTTTTTGTTTTATTTTGAAATCATACGATATTTGTCTTTCTCCATCTGACTTATTTCACATAACATAATACCTTCAAGGTCCATCTGTGTTGTCACAAATGGCAGGATTTCGTTCTTTTTTATGGCTGAATAGTATTCCTGTGTGTGTGTGTGTGTGTGTATTTGTGTGTGTGTGTGTGTGTGTGACAGAGAGAGAGAGCAAGAGAGAGAGACATCTTCTTTATCCATTCATCCACTGATGGACACTTAGATAATTCAACTCTTATAGTGAGTGCATTCTTCTCTTTTCAAGGAGTCCTGCAGGATTTTTGATTAGGGAAGGAGAGAGTTTCCCATTTGATGCTACTTGCTCTTGTAAGGTTCTTACGCTTTTCACTAAGGGAGGCCTCAAAGTCATGGCTTTGGCAGCAGAATCCAGCTAGAAGTCAACATTGTTCAGCTTTGACTTTTTTAAGTAGTCTTAGTCTATTTATGGCAAATGATGTTGGCTTTCCATGAATATAAGTGATATAAAGTTTCCATTGTAGTAAAAATAAGTGAGTTGCCATAGAGAAAAATATGGGGTAAGAAGAAGTCAGGGTGGGGCTTCCCTGGTGGCGCAGTGGTTGAGAGTCCGCCTGCCGATGCAGGGGACGCGGGTTCGTGCCCCAGTCCGGGAGGATCCCACATGCCGCGGAGCGGCTGGGCCCATAAGTCCAGGGCCGCTGAGCCTGCGCATCCGGAGCCTGTGCTCCGCAATGGGAGAGGCCACAACAGTGAGAGGCCCGCGTACCACAAAAAAAAAAAAAAAAGTCAGGGTGAGGACTTCCCTGGCTGTCCAGTGGTTAAGACTCCATGCTTCCACTGCAGGGGGCACAGGTTTGATCCCTGGTCCAGAACTAAAGATTCTGCATGCTGCATGGCACGGCCAAAAAAAGTAATAAAATAGAAGTTAGGGTGGTACCCGGATGGGGAATACTCCCAAGGAGTATGAAAGAGGAGAATGAAAAAAAGCGCATCAGGATTAGCGATTATCTAGCCACGGGACAGGCAGACCTCCCTCCTCTTCTTCCATGCCCCGGACAGACACTGTAATCAGGCAGGGATGCCTGCTCAGTCCAAATGCTGCCTCAGAATCCTTCCTGATGCAGGGCTCCAGGCACCTACCAGGGGATCAGAGTGACCCTTCTGACCACCTTTCCCAGCCCACTGCAGCTTCTCCAAGTTTCTCCCAGGCCCCCCTGTCTAAGCCCTACTCTGACAGCTCGCTTCCTGCCTGGCACTCCCATAACCCCTTTGCCATCTCATAGACTCCCATTTCTCCTCAGTTCCTCATTGGTCCTCCTGGCCCCCTCTTGTACCAGCAGGTAAACTGAAACCCAAAGGAACGACTCCACAGCAGATTAGCAGAGAGCCACAGCCATGCTGAAACACCTTCCCTGGCTAAGCCCTGGTGGGTGCATCCCAGTGTCCGTGCAGCCTCGGGACCCAGCAGCGGGGAGCCCTTCCCCACCTTGCTGTGGCCCATCTGAGAGTCAGTGTGCCACCCCTCCGAGGTGATATTTGTCTCTTGAAAGGATGGTCTCCACGCAGAATGTGGATGGCAGGCTGGGGCGAGGGGTCCACAGAAGTGTGCCCGCCATGCATCCTGAGCACCGCCTTTGCCCTCTCCCCGGGGCCAGGGGTCTCCCGTCCATACCCGTCTCCCTCTGCCATGACACAGGTCCCGCAGAGATCTCAGGGCCAAGGTGTGGCCTGTGTAGCCATCGTCAGGGGTTTCCCACCCCCACCAGCCAGAACTGCCCCAAGACAGCAGAGAACAAAGGCAGAGGCTCTGGAAGGAGCAGAATGTCTGTTGTTACATCCGCTTTATTGGTGGCTTTGCGGCCCCCGCGGAGCCCTGCCTACTAGCTCAGGCCAGCCTCTTGCTCACGCGCTCGTAGGACACACCTGCAACGGTGGAGATCTGGAAGAAACAGCAGGAACAGGGGGTGTCAGTGCAGGGGCCCCAAGGTGACCATGGGGCCCAGAGAAGGTAGACCAGCTTCCAGTCCCAGCCCTGAGTGGGAGTGAGCCTGCTGCACTGCTTCTCCGGGCCTCAGTTTCCCAATTTGTTACAGGACTCATTGTGTGGACTCTACATGGCCAAAGTGCTAACAGATGTTGGCGTGATGTGGCTTTTCGTGGGATAATCTTCCACCCATCTGTCCATATCAGTTCACCCATGCCGGGCCCATCTGCACGACACCAAGATTGTCCCCATTGTACAGATGAGAAAACTGAAGGTTAGAGAAATCAGTCACCCCTCTAAGTCCGAGGGGCCATGCTCACCCTCTGCACCATTTAGCATTTATGGGGTCCCTGTGCTCGGTGATGGGAAGATACATTCTCTGTCCTCAGGAAGTGTAAGCATTCATGGAAGAGGCTGCAAGAGGATACTGTTCGGCCAAGGCCCACTGTGTGTGGTGCCCTGGGCTCAAGGCCAAGACACGCTGTCTTGGGATGTGTGCGTAGCATCAGTTGGTCCAGATCCCCAGCAGAGGAAAGCAGCTTTCTTGTGAGGAGGGGTGGGTGGCAAGTGGAGTTTGGTGGAAGCAGTTTTGTCAAAGGGCAGCAGTGTGAAGTGATGTGTGATTTGCATATGGGATGGATGGAAGATGAAGTGGAGGGGGAGGCTGGGGAGGAGGCTGGGGCACGGTCTAGAGGAGAGGTGATGAGAGAAGGGGTGCTGGTGGTGGGTGGAGATGGGAGGAGGGGTGCTTGCAAAATGCACCCATGTTGGTAGAGAAGAAGGGAGGTATCCAGAACGATTCTGGGCCTCCAGAGTTGGGAGATCTGCAACCAAGATGGCTTGTCTCTGGTGCCTGGTCTGTGTGCGTGTGCATTTGCGTGTGTGCGTACGCGTGCGTGTATATAATGGCCCTGAACTCTGGGCTCTGCTCACACCATATAGGCTCCACGGTCAGGCGCCTCTAGGAATTAGGAAATGGGTTTGTTCCATTTGGGAAGATCAGTTCAGTTGGGCACAAATGTGCTCCATTCTCCTGCCCTGTGTTCTCCCTGCACTCCTTACAGGCTGGGGAGCTTTGCCTCTAGCTTTCATCAGGTTCTCCAAGAGGTTGATTTCCATCCGGAAGAAAATGTATAGTCACTTATGTCACACACACACACACACACACACATATATACATACATATATATATGTATATATATGTGTGTGTATATATATACACATACACATAGATATATTTTTAAAACACTGTACATCTATTTATTTTTAGATTTTTTTTTTTTTTAAACTAAAATGAAGGGGAGAAAGAAGACCCATTGGCCTGGGAAGAGCAGGCAGAGAATTTAGAAGTCAGCTGATGCGATCTGCCTCCACCACAAAGTAGCTGTGTGACCTTGGGCAAGTTACTCGTGTCTCTGAGACTCTATGGCTTCTCTGTAAAATGGGAGTAATGCGAGGGCACTGAGCCTCTTGGGCCACGTGCTCCTTTTCTCTAGACTGGGCTTGAGATGAGGAAAACAAGGAAACAAGGGAGAGATTGAGAGACAGAGAGAGAGGACAGGGGGAGGCAAACCCTGCTTTCCTCATCACTTCCCTTCTGGAGAGGCTTGGGGAGGACAGACCAGACCTCCCCCAGGGGGACTCTAGCCCAGGACACAGGCTCACGAAGGGGAAATGACACGTAGAAACGCCTTCCTTTTCCTCTTAACCTCACACCGTTTCTTTCACCTGGGGAAAACTTTGGAGCCCCAGGGAGAAGAGAGGGATGTGAGATGAGGGCCCTCCAGGGCAGCACCTCCAACCTGTGTTTACAGAGAATGGCGTGTGGGAGGGGTCAGTCCACAGGTGTGTGAGTTGTCCCTGTCAGCGTTTCAATAAATGTTTAATTAGTTGGCAACGTTTGCTAGACTGGAAATTTCACTTGGAAGTGCCAATTTCCAGCTTCTCTTGAAACGCCAGAACATCTAGCAGCAAGGGCCTAAAGTCCCTTGTGGAAGTGGAATGGCGATGGCTACCCTTGCAGGGCCCACCCAGACTCCCCACTTCATTCACACTCTGGGAGGGGTCCAGACGTGCGTCCCTGCGGTGGCCGAGCGTGGGCACTGGAGTCAGACTGCCCAGAGCCAAATCCCTGCTTTGTCAAAAAAGCTCTGTGCCCTCCGGCCAAGCACTTAGCCATCCCGTGTCTCAGTTTCCTCACCTGCAAAATGGGGATAAAAATCCTTACCTAACAGGGTGATTGTGAAGGTCAAATGAGGTCATGTGCACCCAGTGCTCAGCACAGAGCCTGGCCCATGGTTGGGCGGGTAGGGGGGGTTGCCCATAAAGCCAGCTGCCCAGAGGACCACCTCTTGGGGGCCGTGGCTGGGGGCAGAAAAGCATTCTCATCGATTTTGCCAGGAACCAGTGGGACACTCACCTCCACCAGCTTGCCATCCACAATCTCCGCAGTGTAGTTGTAGTGGGGGAAGTTCACCACCACCTTCCCACCCTCCATCTGCACAGTGGCCTGGAAGAGAAGCAAAACACAGAGTTGCAGAGCACCCCCCAAACACAGGCCAGCCCCTCAGGGATGAAGGGCCTGCTTGCAGCCTCAGCAATCACCCTTTGGGAATTAATTTACCCTATAGACATCTGATCACATATATCCAAAGATACAGATAACCTGTGCAAGTCACTGAACCTTTCTGTGCCTCGGTTTTGTTTGTTTATTTATCTTTATTTATTTAGTTAGTTTTGGCTGCGTTGGGTCTTCTTTGCTGCACATGGACTTTTTCTAGTTGCAGTGAGTGGGTGCTACTCCTGGTTGCGGTGCGCGGGCTCTCATTGCGGTCGCTTCTCTTGTTGCGGAGCACGGGCTCTAGGCGTGCGGGCTTCAGTAGTTGTTGCGCACGGGCTTGGTTGCTCCGCGGCACGTGGGACCGTCCCGGACCAGGGCTCGAACCCGTGTCCCCTGCATTGGCAGGCGGATTCTTAACCACTGCGCCACCAGGGAAGTCCCTGTGCCTCGGTTTTCTCATCTCTAAAATAGGGGTAGTAACTGTACCTACTTCCTGGAGTTATGGGGAGGATTAAATGATTTACTATGATACATATAAAGTGCTTAGAGCAGTGCCTGGCTTGGTGTTGAGCACCCCTTGTTAACTATGGAGTCAGTTGTGATCATCATTTTTAGAAGGATGCTAACGTCATCCAAGGGTGTTGATTGCAGCATTGTTTGTAATACAATGCTGTATTATCCACTGGTAAATAACCTAAAAATCTATTAATGAGGGAGTGGTAAATAAATGATAGCATTTCCATACTATAGGATACTGTACCACCATTAAAAAAGAAGAGGCAAGACAATATGTGCTGACACAGAAAGACATCTGTGAGAAATTGTTAAATTTTTAAAATACCCAAGTGGCAGAATATGAATATTATGACTACGTATCCTCCACCTTGGCAGCCTAGAAGCCTGAAGGAGCAAAGTACTCTCTTGGCCAGGGTTGGAGGCTACAGAGGGGAATGGGTGGAAGACCTGGGGGACCAGTCTGGGTAAGAAGGGACAAACAACCACCTTTCAATTCTTTGCTACCCAAGACTGCAGTTTCAAACCCAGATGAGTCTGGTTCTAGGGCCTGGGCAATTAATCTCTAGGCCACGCTGGAGGCAGCATTAAAATGTGGTTATGGAGGCTTCCCTGGTGGTGCAGTGGTTAAGAATCCACCTGCCAACGCAGGGGACACGGGTTCAAGCCCTGGTTTGGGAAGATCCCATGTGGCACGGAGCAACTAAGCCTGTGCACCACAACTACTGAGCCTGCGCTCTAGAGCCCGCGAGCCACACCTGCTGAAGCCCATGGGCCACAACTACCAAAGCCCGCACGCCTAGAGCCCGTGCTCCGCAACAAGAGAAGCCACCACAATGAGAAGCCTGTGCACTGCAATGAAGAGTGGCCCCTGCTCGCTGCAACTAGAGAAAGCCCGCGTGCAGCAATGAAGACCCAGTGCAGCCAAAAATAAATAAATAAAATTAATTAATTAAAAAAAAAATGTGGTTGTGCTCTACGGAACCAGACTGCCTGGTTATACAGGCCCACCCCTGCTGTGGGATCCAGGCAGCTATTTCATCCTATGACTTAGCCCAGCTCCCCCATCTGTAAAACAGGGCAGTAATTGTAGCGACCTCATGGGCTTACCTGCATTAAGATGTGTGACAGATCCAGCAAGTGTCTGGGATATATGTGTGAAGGATTCAGCAAATGTTAACAATTTTTACTATCATTATAGTGTCCGTTATTGACGGTAGCATTAAAAACTAGGAGAGGCTAAACTGCCAAGTAACTCAGGCTGTTAAAGCTGGAGGCTAGACTCGAGAAGAAGCCTCAGCTCGGGGAGCAGCCCCCAGGGACATGGTGGGGACCAAGAAGTCAGCCAGAGTCCTGGCGAAGGAGGGAGGGGTGGCCAGCTGCCTCTCACCTTGAACTTCTTGCCCATCACGGTCTCCATGTCGCACTCTTTGCCGATGGTGAAATTGTTGGTAATGGAGGGGCCCCCGGGGTAGTTCTGGGACCAGGTGAAGTTCTGCCCGTCCTGCTGCACCTCTGAGATAGTCTTGAGGCCGCGACCCTTTTCAATCCTGTCGCTGGGGAGCCCTGGGCCAGGGGACAAGCAGAGTGGCCATGTAAGAGCTGCCTACGACTTGTGGCTTTGGGCACGAGCTTGCCTCCCCTACAGCAGGCTAGCCTGACAGTCGAGCACAAGCCCCATGTCGTGAGCCATGTGGCTTGGGCAAGTCACTGTCTCTCCCAGCCTCAGTGTTTTCATCCAAAAAATGGGGATAATAAGGCCCATTTCACAGGGCTGTTGCAAGGATTAAATTACAGTGTTTGTGTCTGGTAAAACTGCTGGCATATAGTTAAGAATAAATAATAGCTGCTCTTCTGATAGTAGTAGAACAGAAATTTGCCAACCTCACAAATTTCTAAGATGAATGAGACCTTCAAGACTGTCTTGAAATGCTCTTGCTTTACAGATAAAGATTGCTACATCTAGACTGTTGTAGGTGAAACCAAGTCACTGTTCCTTCAGGGCCAGTCCCAGTGATTGACTCAGAAGGGCTCTTGCCTTCCCAAGGCCCCAGGGCACATGGATCCTGCTCTTGGGGCCCATTTCCTACCAGGAGGTCGTAGGCCCTGGTCCCCTGGGGCTGTCCTCAATCTAGAAAACTGCACTGCCTCACACTTAGCTAGCACACCAAGATTTCTGCAGGATTGTCAAGTCCACTGTCTCTTTGGTTCTTCACAACCAGTGCTGCAAATCCAACAGAAGAGTGGGGTCTTTGATCTCCACCCAGAGTGCCTAGCACTGTAAGAGGCCCCCGTTTGCTCAGTGACTTAGTGAACGAGTGGCTTGTCAAACCTGATCTCTGTGCTCCCACCCCTTGGTCACCTCTCCCCAGGCAGGATGTGGTGACACCACTCATCATCTCATCCTCGGGTCCAGGGGGTCTAATGACATCTGCCACTGATGCACAGTGTGACCTCGGGCAAGGCTTGCTGAGGCACCCCATCAGTAACATTGGGTTGGTCTGCGTGTAGCAAGCATTCAGTAAATGTTTGAATGAATAAACCAATTAACTCTCCACCTCACCCATGACTGGCTGCGGGACCTTGCACGAGTCACTCAACTTCTCTGAGCCTCGCAGACTGTGGGTTCCCTGTGCAGAGCTGGCCGTGACAGCCCAGCCCCAGGAAGGTGCTTTCAGGAGCTCACTCACCCAGGCGCTTCATGAACTCGTCATAGTTGTTCTCGCTCTCCATCTCATACTTGCCGGTGAAGGACATGCTGCCGGAGAGCTGGAGGCTCAGGAGAAGAAGGATGAGGAAGCAGGGCTGCGGTGCTGAGGGGTCTGGTGCCTCAGCTTATAAACCCTCCCAGATGCTGAGGCTCAGCCCCAAAGTCACCCCACTTCTCCTTCCCACCTCTGAAGAGGAAGTACCGGCAATTTTATGATGTAGGCAGGCAGCAGAAACCTGAGGTTATTCACCCTGGGGACTCGTTGGCTGGAATCCCATTGCCACTGGCAAGGCCAGGGCCAGCTCTGCCACAGGGTTTGAGGTGTCATCCACCTCTGCCCAGCCCTCCCTCTATCCACGCTCCCATCTTCCCTCATTTACTCAGTCACCCCTGCATTCGTCGACCAAAGTGCCTCGGGCACCTCATTTTGGGGCCAGCACTGAGGAAGCAGTGAGACATGCCCCCTTCCCAAAACAGCCTCCAGTCTGGTCCAGGGACAAAACACACCTGCAGAGAACCCCTGTGCAAGCAGGATGGGATGTGTCCCGAGAGACGTGCAGATCTGGGGCCTGGGGCCTAGGGAAGGAGTGATGGTGTCCAGCTGGCTGGTGTAGCTTTGCATAGGAGATGGCATTTAATACAGGTCTTGAAGGAATTTGGATGTTTACAGAAGTGGTAAGGTTGGAAGACACTGAGAATGGAGGCAGGTAACATTCTAAGTTGAGGGAACAACGTGATGAAGGTGGGAAGGGCCACAATGAAAGGAAACAATGAGTTGTCTGCAGCAAAGAGCACTTGAAGGAGAATAGGCACGAGATGGGTGTAGATGGTGCGAGCAAAGGGAAGCAGCTGCCCAAGGGCCCAGGGAGCCGATCAGAGGAGGCATGCCGGGTGCGCTGAAAACCTACTATGTGCCAGGCATGGGCTGGGAGCGTGGTGAATTTCACTCTATTCCAGCTTCACCACTGGGAGGGCTAGTAATTCAGCCCCCACTTCCTGTCCCTGTTCTGATTCTGGCACCACTTCACATTAAGGACTCCCATCTCTTCGGTGATAACTCCTGCCCTGCCTGTCTCGTGGGACTGCGCTCTGGATCAAACCGATTGGCCATGAAAGTATGAAGCACTTACAAAGGCCGTCACTCTTATTGTTATAAATAAGGAAAGTTTTGCATCTGTCTCCTTTTCCAGAGTGGGCTCTCCAAGAATCCCCATCATTTCTATCCAAAGCAGAATTCACCACAGTTGCTAACCCCCCAGACCTGGGACTGAGTGGTTTCTGAACTGATGAAACCAGCTTTGCCACATTTTGCCAGTCTGCAATCTCCAATCTTAGAATTCCTCACTCCAGCCAGGTGTCTCACTTTAAAAAAACACAAAACCACACACCCACACTCGCCTCACCCACACCTCATCGTGGATTTTCTGATGCTGAATTGTATATATTAAAATTTCATAATTCAGAGCAAGTGACAGTTCTGGCAGAGATGGCCCTTGATAACGGTCGGTAGCTATCCTTCTAGACTTTTAAATGCACACCTATACTTTCTTCTATAAATAAGATTATATTGTTCTGTCATTTCTTTTTCATGTAATGATGTAAGTACACGTGGATATCATTACATAAAGGTATATCGTACATATTCTGTGGTATGTATGTTTCATAATTTATGTAACTATTGCCAGGTCTTTAGGTTGTTCCCAGTCTTTTTCTATTAATAACTCTGAGGGGCTTCCCTGGTGGCACAGTGGTTGAGAGTCCGCCTGCCGACGCAGGGGACACGGGTTCGTGCCCCGGTCCGGGAAGATCCCACATGCCGCGGAGCGGCTGGGCCCATGAGCCATGGCCGCTGAGCCTGCGCATCCGGAGCCTGTGCTCCGCAACGGGAGAGGCCACAACAGTGAGAGGTCCGTGTACCGCAAAAAAAAAAAAAAGAAAAAAAGAAAACATAATTTATGTAACTATTGCCAGGTCTTTAGGTTGTTCCCAGTCTTTTTCTATTATAAATAACTCTGAGATAAACATTCTCATTCACACCCTTTGGTGTACATGTCAGATTATTTACTGAGATTATTTGCTAAGGATAAATTCCTAGACATGCAATTCCTGGAACCAAAGGGGTTTTGTATGTAAAGTTATATATAAACTTATATATAAGTTATATCTATACCCTAATGCCTTTCTCAGAGGCTAGAACAGTTTACACTCCCACCTGGAGCATATGAGAATTTCCCCTCATTGATAATAATGATGAAATAACAATGACAATAATAGCTAACACTTATTGAATATTTATCATGCATTGGGCATGATGCTGAGTGCTCTATATGAATTATATCATTTAATCTTCCAAACAACTCTATGAAGTAGGTGCCATTATTGTCCCCATTTTGCCAGGGAGGAAACTTGAGGTTCAGAGAAGTTAAGTAACTTGCTCAAAGTCACAGTGCCCCTATGTATAGTTCATATTTACTACCAAGGCAACTTTCATCATCATTTAAACAGATTTCCAAAAGTCCTCCATAATCCCATTACCCTAACACTATAACTATTTTTACTTTTTTAATTGTCTTCCTGCCTCTTTCATTCATCTCTCTCCTCTCTCATCCCTGCTTTCTTTCCAACCACTCTAATTATAGCAGGTGTATAATAGCCATAGTCACTATATATAATGCAATATTCCATTCTTTTTTTCTTTGTTGGGTATTAGTTTGTAAACACAATCCCATGTTTCTATTAAGCTGCCATGTTTATTGTTAGAAATGGCTGCATAATGTTTGCTGTTGGACTTTTAGGGGGAGCCCAGGTTACCCCATTAAATGAGAGGCCACAGTGAGCTTCTTTATATGTAGATAATTTTTTTAAAGTATTTCCTTGAGCTAAATCCCCAGGATGGGATTACAAAGTTATGGGATCTGGAACATTCTTACAGCTCTTAATATGTTTTGCCATGTTGAGACTGAATTGGTTTAGCCCCAGATTGCCTGGGTGCTGAAGTTCTTGGAACTCAGAATTTAGAACATCTTTAGTTCTTTTCCCCCAAACATCCTGCTTCCCAACATCATGAATTGTGGCACCTTGAGATTCTCTTTCTTTCCTCTTTAAACAATCTTTATGGAGGAAAGGGTTTTTAATTTTCTGTTTATAAAAGCAATAGTTGTTCATAGTAGATACTTTGGGAAGAACAAAGCACAAATAAACTAAAACCTACCTATAATCCCACCATGGGGTCTTGTTTTTCAGTTGTAAAATTAATACATACTCAGTGTTTAAGAAGACAAAAGCTCAAAGCTGGGTAAAGTCTTATTTCTTCATGGAAACTGAAAACTATCCCATTAATTCTTTTTTTTTTTTTTTTTTTTTGCGGTACGCGGGTCTCTCACTGTTGTGGCCTCTCCCGTTGCGGAGCACAGGCTCCGGACGCGCAGGCTCAGCGGCCATGGCCCACGGGCCCAGCCGCTCCGCGGCATGTGGGATCTTCCCGGACCGGGGCACGAACCCACGTCCCCTGCATCGGCAGGTGGACTCTCAACCACTGCGCCACCAGGGAAGCCCTCCCATTAATTTTTAAAAGGGACTTTCCAAATGGAGAAATCCACTAATAAAAAACATGTCATACCGGTCTGGGCATGGGGAAACAATAGAGCATTTGCCATCTCCCTGTAATTTCGCAGAAGTATGGGATGTAGGTTCCATTTAAGATGGTTAAGGAGGCTAGGGAGGCTTAGGGAAAGGGGTGTAGTCTCCCGAAATCCCCTGGGGTCTCTAGGCTCGGAGGAGGTGTGCCCTTTGCAGAATCTCACCTTTATGCCTTGGCCTGCATAGAATGACTGCTCACTTTCCAGCCGTCTTTCCAAATTTGAATTGTCTTTCCAACTCCACCTCCTCCCGGGAGTCTTCTCTGATTACTCCAACCTGTAGATTGTCCTTTACTGGAATCCCCCAGGTGTATACCAGCTGCTTGTAATCGCTCAGGGGGAAACCTGGGCTTGTGAGTCACAGCATTAGCCCTGAGACTTCAGACACACAATCTTTAGTCGTTCAAAAAATACTGAGTACCTACTGTTCACTAGATTCTGGAACTACCAAGTATCTGTCCTCAAATCTTGTGAGAGAACCAGCCTAGTACACAGGCGATTGTAACACGGTGTGATAACTGAGATAAAGTCTGTAACATTGGGGTATTGTGGGAAAACAGAGGCATCACCCTGATCACCTCTTAAGGGTCAGGGAAGGCGGATGTGAGAGAGATTGGCAAATAAGCCAAATCCTTAATTTACTCATTATTAAATGGGGATAAAAATACCTGTTTTCCAGGATTTTAGTGTGATAATCAGTATATAAATAAAGGATTTAGCATAGGATCTAGTATTTTGTAGCTGCTTATTGAATGATACTGTTATTCCCACTCATTGGCAGTTTGTCCAGCCTATCTGCCTACTGTTTTGAATTATTCATTGTAGCATTAACTTAACTCTTCACAAAGTATGTCTTTTATCCCCCAATTAGATTTTTTTTTTTTGACCACGCGGCATGTGCATCTTAGTTGCCCAACCAGGGATTGAACCCATGCCCCCTGCAATGGAAATGCAGAGTCTTAACCACTGGACCGCCAGGGAAGTCCCTCCCAATTAGATTATAACCCCTTTAAGGAAAGAGGCTGCATTTCATACTTCCTTATGGCTGTGCAGCTAGTAGGCACTGGGATCCCTCTGATTTTGTTTTATTTGTTCAGATCAGTGTGGAATAGGCTGTGAGACAGTTTTTCAAATGTGATCTTTATCATACACTGCAGAGGGTGCAGGAGGGGAGGGCTTGTGAAAAACGGAAACCTCTGGGCCCTGACCCACAGGAGTTCTGATTTGGTAGGCCTGGTGGGGCCCTGGAATCTGCATCTGACAAGTTCCCTGCTGGTTGTGCTGCAGCTACCCTGAGAAGCTCCAGGCCAGCGGACGTGGGCAGGAGCTGGCAGATGGGCTCTCCAGAACCCCAATTAAGTCCCTTTCCCATCGACTTCCTTGTGCATGGTCAGAACCTTTTTCTCCTTAGTAGCTCATCCAAAGCCAGCGTCAAGGGCAGGATGGGAGTGGCAAGGGTGTGGGAAAGGA